GTGGTAGTAGTAGTAATAGTAGTAATAGCAGCAGTAGCAGTAGCAGTAGTAGCAGCAGCAGGACTAGCAGTAGAAGCAGCAGCAGCAGAAGTAGAAGTAGTAGTTGTAATGTAGTAGTTGTTGTTGTTGCAGTGGAAGTAGTAGTTGTTGTGGTAGTACTAACTAGTACTAGTACTAGCACTAAACCCTAAACCCCAGTACTAGCACTAGTACTAGTACCAGTGCTAGTAGTATCTCAGTAGCAGCAGCAGCAGCAGGAGCTCAAATAGTATCATAACATAGCAGCAGAAATCCCTTTTTAATAAATCCTATCCGTACAGCAACCCCAAAGCCTATTATCCTAAACCCACATCCGAGTTCCGGCCTCCAACGTCTTCTTCAGCCACCAGCAGCCGTGAGAGGGCAAAGGGCAGTCAGGCTTGGCCATGAACCCGAAAACCTACCTATTATACCCCAAGACTTAGCAAGATATTTGGGGGTTTAAGGTGCAATCAGGGTTTCGGTGTTTCTTGGCCGTAAGCGCAGAAGCCCGAAAAACCTGCTAACCCTAAACCCTCTAAACTCTAAGCCAACCACCATCACCGATGGCCACTTTTAGAGGCTTAGGGTTTTTAGGGTTTAATTGAATGCTGTGTGGGACCAATCAGCAGAGTTTCAGTGTTTCTTGGCTGTAAGCCCATAAACCCTACAGGCCCGTTAACCCGAAATGTTAAACCCACTGATGGCCAGTCGGGCAGCCCCGACACGTTGAGCTTGGTAGAGCCCACTAAAACTCGAGGCCCAGATCTGCTGAAAAAGTGAAGGGTTCAACCGTAAACCCTAGGAGACCCAATAAACCCACCAATAAACCCAACCCTAAATTATGATTGGAGCAGGGTGTCACAACTTTAGTCGGGCACTGGTCTGCTGAGAGCCCCAAGGAATGCATTCCTTCAAATCCCGAAATCCGAAGTCCCGAAGCCCTACCCCAACCCTACTAAAGACCTAATCCTTAGAAACCCATTACAACCCCACAAGTCGAAATCTCCCACTAATAACCTCAGCAATCCTCACAATCCTGAAGTCCCTGACACACACCTGAAGCTTCGAAATGAAATCCCTGACCACCGAATCCTTCCAAATCTTCAAAGTCCTGAAATCCCTGACACACCCCAAGACTTCCAAATCTTCAAACCCCTAAACCCTAAACCCTAGAAGCCCCAAAGCATCAAATCACCGACATTCATTGCCACCATATATCTCATGCATCATCATCACACCTATCCCCAACTATCACACCCTTATGCCATCACCCCGAAAGTCCCATGATAATTTAGGGTTATAGGGTTTTAGGGCTGAGGGTCTTGAAGGTCCAGGCTCCCAACCCTTAGTCTGTATGAATCCCTACCACCCCAACTGATATTGTAATTTTCCGTCCCTAAAACCTAAACCCCGAAAGCTCTAAACCCTAAAGACCCTAAACCCCCAAAGCGCGAGCGAGGCAGGCCGGCAGGGCTTTAGGGTTTTAGGGGGGTTTTAGGGTCAGGGATTTCGGTGCTCATTTCAGGCTTAGGGTTATTTTGTGTTATAGAGGAATTTCGAGTTTGTGGGCTTGGGCTCTCGGCTTCAGGACCCTAACACATTCTAGAACCCTATGTGGATGATGGTGGTGATGTTATGGCTGGAGTGAGAGAGATGATTGATGAACGGTGGTGCTGTTGGTGATGTTGAGATGATGGATGACACAGGCAGGATGGCTGACCGATGATGATAGTGATGGACAATGAAGATGATGTATGTATGTGTGTGTGTGTGCGTATAGGGCTTGGTTGTGTCTGGCTGTTCTCTCTCTTTCTCTCTCTCTTCTTCAGGGGTTTTGTGGGTTCAGGGTTCAGGGATTAGGGATTTTTGTTGGTATATAACCTCCCAACATAGGTATCTTACTTACCTCCTGCTGATATCTTAGTTGTGGTGCCGATGCCTTTTAGGGGTTTGGACTTTATAATAGGGCTTAGGGTTTATAATATCGGGGTTTAGGGTTTGTAGGGGCTTAGGGGTTTCGAGCGTCTCATGCCGAGATCAGATTACGGTTGGGCTTCTTCAGAGATTACCCAGACCCCAAGCAGAGCCGTCCTCTGACTTCTGGAAAGGTGTTCGGGCTTTTGGGAGGCTTTAGGGTTTAGGGTTTTGGGGTTCGGGGCTTCTGTAGGGCTTGGGTTTACACGAGTTTTAGCAATTACTTAAAGCCCGAAAACCTAAACCCTAAAGCCCTAAAGCAATCAGAGGGTTTTAGGGCTTCGGGTACTTAAGAGAGAGAGAGTGGCATGGGATAAGGCTTCCCTGGAGTTTCGATGCGAGTTCTATCCAACGGGGTGGTAGGTTTTGGGCTTCAGGGCTTCGAGGAGACTCCAGGGCTCTTATGGTCTAAAATTCGCCTCGGCCCCGGTCGAAGCGGTCAGAGGTTCCTATTCGGATTCCCTCTATTCCCCACCTCTTAATCCGCTCCCCACTCGCCCCCACCCCTCAAAAGGGCCATGGTGGGGGGGGGGAGTCCCTCTGTGTGAACCCATAAATGANNCAAGGTCCGGCGGTGAAGTTTCGCCTCCTCCTATGGATTTGGGCTGTCTGTGGGAGGGGAGCACCAAAATCCTGGTGCCTCCCCCCCGTTTTAAAATTGTTTAGGGGCTTAGGGGTTCAGGGGTTTAGGGGTTGAGGGTTGACAAAAGGGGTTTCTATAAGGATACGACAAGAATCAGGGTTCAGGGTTCAGGGGTTTAGGGTCAACCCAAAGCCGTACACCTGAATCACCTAATTTTTCGGAGTTCGGCGTGGCATGTCCCGGCAACAGTTCTGAGGGTTTCAGGATCAAAGCATCAAGGTCGAAGCCTAAACCCCCAACGGCTGCCCGCCGAAGCCCCAAACCCGCGAACCCCGAGCCCCCTAAGCACTGAATCCTCATCAACAAGAAGACTTGTTTTAGTTGCTGAGTTCATAGGCACAGCAAAATGTACACTTTCAGTTCTACAAGAGGTCAGATTATCCACAATACGTTTAAAGTGTAACCCTCCCCATAACCTACTCCCGGAACCCTGCACTCCACGACTTACAACGTCTCAAGTATCTGCGGGATTGCCCTTCTACCCAGATCCCCGGGACCCTTTAGTAGTTAGGGTCCCAACTTAGGGGATCTACTTTTTAGATCCTCCCGGGGGTCTGGGTAGGGAGGGTGGTCCAAGGGGGGAGGATGCTTGCTGCTTTTGTCGCCCATGCCGCCTCAAGACGGTATGAGCATGAGGGACAACAGGGGCGCTCAAACTGGCCTGCTCTTCTCCCGAGAAAATGATCAGCGAACAGCGAGACCAGCTTGTGGACATTTAAGACCTGGCTCATGCAGCCGACCGGTTTGGCTTCCTGGCCCACGCAGCCGTCCCAGCACCGACCCCGTCCATGACAAAGGCACGCGCAGTAGCGATTGGGCTTCTGCAGCACCGCCGCT